AGTCTCCAGGCGCCGAAGGACTTAATCTTGGAAGGGGCTCTTCCAAGAACCCAGTCCTGCACTTGTGAAGGTAGGCTCTCACACCGTGTGTTCCTTGCCACGGTATTTTGAAAATCCATTTAAAGTAGCTCCAAATGGGTTTAGCATTGGGGCATTGAAAGAGAGCGTGGTAGCTGTGTCACTATCCCTTTTGCAGAGATAGCATATGGAGGGCAATGAGGTGATTCCAAATTTCCTCAATTGTGCAGGGAAAGGTAGCAGTTTGTGGTGAAGACGCCACAGGAAGAAAGAGATTTTTGGAATTTGCTTCATGTTCCAATTGATTTGCATATGTTGGAGAGGTTCTGCATCCTCTTCCTCTTCCTCAGGTTGGATTGCTAGGTAAGCTTCTTTGAAGGTAATCTTCCTATTTCTGAAAAAGGCTTCTTGGTCTTCTTCTCCTGCAAAAAAAAAATGTTAGTGGCTTTTTCATGAATAGAGCAAATTCTTTTCCAGATGGTAGAGTCAGTGATTTTAGGGGTAAAGTTGTTGTTTCTGGGATATCTCTCTCTCATAAAATGGCTCCAAGTAGAGTTGTTAGCTTGATAGTTCCACCAAAGTTTTAGCGTGAAGGCCTCTTGGATAGAATCCAAAGATCTGACTCCTAAACCTCCCTGGTCTTCTGTCAGGCAAATCTTGTCCCATGAAGTCCAATGATAGCTGTCTTTCCCTTATGTGTTACCCCAGAGGAAGGTGCACATCTTGTTGTGTAGCAAATGGATGATAGATTTAGGGAGTTTGTTGACTGCTAGGGTGTGAAGGGGAATGGAGTTTAGGTTGTGTTTGAGGAGGATGAGTCTGCCACTGTGGCTGAGGAGTCTGCCCTGCCAGCCCTTCAACTTATTGTTAAATTGATCAATGAGTGTTTGGCAGTAGTGAGCTCTGTTAATCCCTCTGAATATTTGAACACCCAAGTATTTAAAGGGCAGAATTCCATGGTTCATGCCAAGGGTATTGCACATGTAGTTGATTCTGTGGTTGGGGGTTTTGGGGGGGGGGGGGGAAAAAGTTGCTTTTATCCATATTCACCTTTTGACCTGAGCACCTTTCATATTTCCTCAAAAAGATGTGAACTTGTTTAAGATTAGGACCAGAGCCATTGGTGAAAAGAATAAGATCATCTGCAAAAGCTAAGTGAGAGATTCGATGGTAATTTCTTCCCAAGTTGTAGCCTGCAATTTTCTTGGTGAGGACAAGGTTGTTCAGAGTTCTACTGAAACCTTTAGAGGCAATGATGAAGAGAAAAGGAGAAAGGGGGTCTCCTTGTTTTAACCCCCCTGGAAGTCTGAAAAGGTTTGGTATTTTTGCCATTGATGTTGATAGAGAGAGTGGTAGTGGCCAAGAGGTTGTGAATAAAGTGTGTGATTTGGTTTGAGAAACCAAATCTCCACAACACTCCAAGCCCCCAGGACACTCGATCAAAAGCTTTAGACATATCCAGTTTGATGGCCAAATTACCCCCCTGCATTTATTAGCTACGCCATGGAACATTTCTTGGGCAATTAGGATTTGATCCTGAGTAAGAGTATGTTTTATGAAACCAGCCTGTTCAGGGCTGATGATTTTGGGTAGGAGAGAGGACAGTCTGGTAGCCAAGATCTTAGAAATGGTTTTGGCAATACAATTGGAGAGGCAAATGGGTCTGTAGTCAGAGAATTTTGAGGGGTGCTCAGTTTTGGGAATAAGGATGATGGTGCACTGGGTGAGGCTTTTGGGAGGGGGAATACCTAGGAAAAATTCTAGGCAAGCTTTCCACAAATCTTCTTTGATGTTGTCTCAGGTTGCCCTAAAAAATGGCCAGTGAAACCATCAGGCCCTGGAGAGCTGTCTGGACAAAGGTCCTAGATTACTGTTTTAACCTCTTCCATGGTTGGGAGGCTCCAAAAGGAGAGGTAGTCATTAGGGTTCAGGATGAGGAGAATATTGTCCAGGATGTCTGGGCAAAGGTCAGTGTCCTCATGTGTGAAGAGGGTACTGAAGAAAGAGGTGGCCTCTGAAGCAATGTCATCCCACTCAGTAAGCCAATTGTTATTTGTGTTCTTGATTTTATGAATCCTTTGGAAGTTCCTTTTGCTTTTGAGAAAGGCTTGGAAAAACTTTGTGTTTAGGTCCCCCTCCTTTACCCATTTCAGATTGGATTTTTGCTTCCAGTAGGAGTATTCTGTGGCTAGGCATTTATTAAGATCTGATCTGGCTTGTTGCATCCTAGTGTTACTGTCATGAGTTGGGTTGTCATTGTAGGCTTCTTTAGCTAGTTTAAGTATATCCTCATGTTTGGTTCTGTTCTTGAGGATGTTCACAGAGGTATTTTTGTTCCAGGCTTGAATTATTTTCCACAAATTCACCAGCTTGTCCATTAAACCTCTCATTCCCCCTCCCTTGTAGGGTTCCCAGTTATCTTTAATTAGGGTGAGGAAAGAGGGGCTAGCAGTCCAAGAGTTAAGGAATTTAAAGGGAAAAGGACCCTTGAAATTACCATTGGTAATTTTGAGGAGGATTGGGGAGTGGTCAGAACCACCTTTGGCTAAGTGTTCAGAAGAGATTAGGCGGTTAAGGTTGTCCAGGTGGGAGTTGAGGAAAAGTCTGCCTCCAATTTTTTCCCAGGCTTCTAGACCCATGCCAAGTAAATGGAGAGCCAGAAAAGAGGGGTTCAATCAGACCATTTTGAGTAATACAAGTGTCAAATTCCATAATAATAACCATGCAGGGTGTGCTTTTTCCCTTGTGATGAGAGAGTGAGCTGATAGCATTAAAATCCCCTTCTAGGAGCCATGGGTCATTAATAGATCTAGAGAGGGTGGATATGCAGTGCCGTAAGTCCCTTCTTTCTTCCTTAGTGTGCTTTCCGTAAATGGTTGAAATATGGAGTTTTGTTTGCAGGGTTTTGCTTCTGAAGAGGAGGTGGCCCAGCTGAGTGTAGGAGAAAGAGGATTCCAGTGTCAAGGAGTCTGAGTTCCAGAAGGCCCAGATTTGGTTGTTGCAGAGTTGGAGAGCAATTTCAAAACCCATGCCTAGCTGAAATTAGGTGAGTTTATTGCCAGTACATTTAGGTTCAATGATAGCCACAAAGTGGATATGTAAATCTTTGATAAGGAATTTTAATCTTGGGAGATTTGAGGCTATGCCTCTAATATTCCAGAAGAGGACATTCATTGCTGAAGGAGGGAGAAAGAATTGTGAGAGGAAGCCTTTTCTAGGAGCATAGCTGATCTCCTTTTGGTTTCTAAATCCAGTGTTCTGATTAGTGTGTTTGGTTCCTTGTTGGCAGGTTTGGGACATTTTCTGGAAAAAGTTTCTCCTTCTGAGTGGTAGTGTTCTTGTTGTGGGTTGGGCAAGTCTGCCTTATTGAGAATACCTTTGATGTTTTCATCTCTACTTGTGCAAAGATGCGAAAGAGGTTATTAAAAATCTCCTCTTGAAAGGTGGACTCGAATTGTTCCTGATCAGTATGGAGAGAAGGGGAGGGTGGAGTGTTGGGAAGAGAATTTGGGATGGGGGAAAGAGACTGATTAGAGGGGGGTTGTGCAGGGATCTGGATGGGGGTGGAAGACTAGGCAAAAAGTGGGGCTGGGAGAGAGGTGGCTTGATTGTGATTAATTGTGTGATTGGAAGGTTCAGGGATAGGGCTCAGGGTATGAGAAGTAGGCATTGGGATTGGGTTTAGGGGGAGGGGTGCAGAATTAGGTGTTGAGGTGGTTTTTGCCAGCTTGTTGTTGTTGGTACTGACAAGCCTGTTGGGCTGTGGTGGTTTAGTGAAGGGGGTAGGGACAGTGGGTTTTTTTGGTGGTAGGTGCTTGGAGGAATTTTCAATGGGATTTTTGGTTTGTAGCTGTTTGGAGGAAATATCACTGTGATGGGATTGTTGACTGGGAGAGGGTGTTTGGTTGCTGTTTGGCAGGGGAATCTTAGCCATTGGAGGGGGAAAATGCTTGCAGGAAGCTGAGTGTCTGTTGATTCCTTTGCAAATATTTGCAGAAATCAGGGAGGTTTTCGAATTTTGCTTGCAGAAGTAAGGGAGTATCCCCATTCTTAACATAAAAAGAATTCTGATGGAGGCTGGATAGGTTCATTTCTACACAGAATCTGGCTACTGAAATTTTCTGTAGTAGAGTCTAGTTTAATAGGTTTTCCAAAGATATTTGCAATAGCCATCAGTGCTCTATGATCATGAAGGTGAATAGGCAGATTTGCTATGGAAATCCAGACAGGGATGATTGGAGTTACCTTACTGGGATCAAAATCAGTGGTCCACTTGGTGATGTTCATGGTTGCTCCTTGGACGTTCCAATCTTTGCGCAAGAATAATCTTTGGTAATCCTTTTCAGACCACAAGTTGATGAGGACATGAGAGGGGTGGAGGAGCCCAACAGAGAATCCCACAAAGCCAATTTTTTCCAGCCATTTTCTGATGATCTCCAAGGGGGGCCTTTTCCCAAAGAAACTGCCCACCAGGTCAAATTGAAACCTGGATGCCAGGGAGAGGACTTCTTCATTAAAGAAGGAAATGCAGGGCAGGCCTTTAAATTTTTCAATCAGTTTGGTATGAATTTGTGGTGAAGAAGGGCAAACAACTTCCTTGAAGCTTTATATTGGCGAATCACACCACCCGGGTTTGATCCCTAGAAGATGCAAATTTGGAGAAATTTTAAAGATTTAAGCGTGCTGTAAAGAACTACCAATAAGAGCAACAACCTCCAAGATCCTGCTCTTGCCATTGCCATTAGCCACGCACTATTGCAAAAGAATGAGCATTTCATATAGGGATCCCCCTGCTATGGAAACAGTGAAGTCCATTCACACTATCTAGCTGATGCAAAACCAGGCTACAATAGGTTCCTGCACTACCAATTCAGAAACCTCCATTGATCTAGACACATGTATTATTCTGCATAATAAGGCGAAACCCAGTAACATGAGACCAGAGCAAAAACCAAAACCCCAAGAGTCTTCCTAACTAGGCACAAGAACCAGAGACCAAGATTTCACCGTAACCTCAAAATTTCATTTGGAAATGGTATAGACCCAAAAGTACACCGTAACCTCAAAATTTCACCATAATCTCAAAAGTCCTGGCAGAATGAAGCACCTAAAGCCTGATCCTCAAAAGTCATCTTCTATGTGAAGGAACACAATTGCCATCAAAAGTTTCATGGGCTTGTTACAACAGTTTGCATGACATACCTAGGACCAACCCTCAAGTCAAAACTCAAAACTGAGATGCTGCATATAGTAAACTAAAAAAAACTTGTACCTCCGTCTAAACAGTGGGAGCATTCATACAGATGTGCTAGCACACCAGGGAGATTTGGCATTGATGAGAAGTGTAAAATCAAGCTCCAACTCCAAATTACTGACTTGGGTTAAGGCAGTAACTAAAAGAAAGAAGCTAAAGGAAGTATAAATATATATATATGTATGTGTGTGTGTGTATATATATATATATATATATATATTCCTGGTAATGTCACCAAAATTGGTGTGGTAACCCCAGGGAAAGCCTACCGGTCTTTTATTGGAAATTGAAGTGAAATTACACGAATATTACACGTTCAAGGAGGACTAGACCTTGCCTCGAAAGTATCTAAAAGAAAAGAAGTAAAAATAAAGTACTGAATCCACTCTAAATACCGCCATCCTTGCGCTTTGAATCCTGCAACTCCAAGAACCTAGAATTCGCATAGCTACTTCAAACACATCTGCGAACGAAGGAACCGGCCAGAGCAAAAGATTGGATTCCATGGTCGGTAAGGTTATCATATTTGATCATCCAACCCTTTTTTCCGAATTTCCAACACCAATGAGTGAGGTCCATCTTTATGTTCTTCTTGATATGTTCTAGGTTCTGTTTCTCCTTCCCAAACATTATAGAAGCATAGTGCTTCCAAATGGACCACACAATAATTCCAGGAAGAATAATCATCATGTTTCCTTTAAGAGTGCCATTTTTTGATTTTATGTTCCACTCCAATATGTGTTGCTTTAGGGATATACCTTTTTTTAATGTTGGGACCATAAAAAATGAGACTCATTTCTTCCCATATCTTCAGAATTTGAGGGCATTGTAGAAGGCAGTGATCCATATTCCCCTCATTCTGTAGGCATGTGGGGCATTGGGATGGGTAGCTATAGCTGAATTTGCTAAGATTTTCAAGAAAGGGGGGTATGTTGTTGTTGACTTTCTAAAGAAAGAGTTGTATTTTGGGCAGCTGCAGTTTGTGCCAATTGAATTTGTCACTTAGTTGCAGTGTTGTGTGGTTTCTGCAGTGATTATAAGCTTGCTTTATGGTAATAGGGACAACCTCTATAGCATCTTCTTCATCTGGATAAGATATGATATCTCCCATTATTTCCTCCGCTGTGTTGTTGATTCTGCAAATCCTTTTCCTTATGGGGGAATCTACTATTTTTTCAACAAAGTTCTGAGTATTGTATTTTGCTCTCATGAATTGAGCCCAATTGTTGTTGTTGAATCTAAAGTTCCACCAAAGTTTAATAGAGTAGGCATCCTGAAGCTCTTCTAGATTCCTGATACCCAATCCTCCTTCTTCCTTTGGTGAGCAAATAGTTTCCCAATTGGTCCAGTGGTATTTTCCTTTGTTGTTGCTTTGTCCCCAGAAGAATTTAGCCATCATTTGTTGTAGCTTGTTAATGACAGATTTGGGTGAAGAGTGGGCTGCCATGTAATGGAGAGGAATGGTGGATAAGACATGTTTAATAAGTATTAATCTCCCCATCTGATTAAGAGTCTTGCTGTACCATTTTTCTATGTAATTGCTAAAATGAGAGATTAGCTCGCCACAATCACCTTTCCTCAGAACCCCTTTACAGATTGGGATTCCCAAATACTTAAACGGGAGGGTGTCTTTTTCCATTTCCAGTATATTTTCCGTCTGTAGGATAGCAGCTATGTTATTTCCTCTACCACAGTAGAACCTGCTCTTATTATAGTTTATCTCCTCTCCTGATGCTTCTTGGTATTTATTAAGAATCCCCTTAACTTTGATCAGATTATTGCTTTGACCATTGCAAAAGATGATAACATCATCTGCATATGCCAAATGGCTAATCAGCTTGCATCTACCAGTATTCAAATTTTTTTATATAACCAGTGGACATATAAGGAAGTGAAAACGCTGTGACGTTAACGGCTTGGTGAGAAAATCAGCCAATTGATACTCAGAGGAGATATGCTCAGCAAACATGGACCCATCGATGACTTGTTCACGAACAAAATGACAATCTGTTCCAACATGTTTCATCTTTTTATGAAACACAGGGTTCTTTGTGAGGCAAATGGCAGACTGATTGTCACAATAAAGGACCGGTGGTGGAGTGGCTATATGCAAGTCGGTCAGAATGTAAGTGAGCCACATTACTTCCGATGCTGCAGCAGAAAGTGCTCTATATTCGGCTTCAGTAGAGGACTTTGATACCCTTGTTTGCTTCTCTGTACTCCGGGATACAAGATTATTTCCAAGATAAATGAGATACCCGGTGGTAGAGCGACTGTCCTGAGGATATATATATATATATATATATATATATATATATATATATATATATATATGTATGTATGTATATATACATACATATATATACATACATATATATATATATACATATATATACATACATATATATATACATACATATATATACATACATATATATATACATACATATATATACATACATATATATACATACATATATATATGTATATATATATATATATACATACATATATATATATATATATATATATATATATATATATATATGTATATATATATATATTAGCAATTCCACGCGCTTTGCACGGGTTTTAGTGCCCGATCATGGTTTTAACCCAAAATGAGTTATGATTTTTGTTTATGATATGTGAATGAATGTGTACATTGTATTAATTAAATAGGTCATAAAAAAGGAATTTGAGAAGACAAGTACAAAAAAATAATTAAAAATGAAGTTCTGAAAAATGCATTGAATATATTTTAGGATATGATATATGGAGTAATTTTAGTACCGAAGTAATGTTTGTAGTTGCTTTGAAGCGGTAATTAAGCAATGACAATAATGTGTTAAAAGTAAAAGTTAGAAATGTGTCAAAGTCATCGTGTGGAAGGAAAATACGTGAATAACAGTAATTGTAATTTAAAACATTCTTCTTTTATGAAAACACGGTGAACAAACCTGTTCACAATGAATGTTGTATGTAATTGTAAACATGGTGAAGTCAGTAGTACATGTGTGTGCGATATGTACTGCACGATTATTATTATTATTGCTAATAAAATGTGTTTTTTTGTGTTGGTGTATTTTTCTCTGTGTAGTACGGAGTATCATTTTTAAATAGAATGTAATATATGAATATATCATTTTTTACTAATTTAAGTAGTCAAATGGTTTGAATAATAGTACATATATTTATTCAATTAATTTCAGATTCTAATACTTCCGTCCACATAAAGAAAAAACTGCACAAAGATTTAGAAAAGACTCATAAAACGAAAAGTAATGACAATAGCAGGTGAATATAAGTGGCCACCTGAGTGTTGTTGGTATCCGTGAGTTATGCATAGTAAAAGAATTGAAGTATAACAACAATAACCGTTATAATGTCCATTGTAAAGGTGGATCGGATCTTCTCTTTAAAATATTGAGATGAAAGTTGTCATTTTTTCATTAGTATTGGTATCTATATATGCATTGCATGGGATTTTTTGTGGCAGATCATGATTTTACGTGACATTTTTATTAATGTTTATACATGAAATAATGTTGTTTAATTAGTTATTTTTTATTCGTTTAACAAGTCATATAAAAAGTGAAGTTGGCAATATTGAGAATGAAGTTGAGAACATTAAAGTACCAATGTTTGAATTAGAGTGAGCTTGATATATATATATTAATGGATGGTACTTTCCAATTCATACAAAATGTGTATAACGGTGTTCCAAGCTAAGTGAATTTGGAAAAGTATATTGATAGTATGCTTGATTTTGTAAAGAGGAAATTGAAATATTATATGATGTACGTATAGTTGAGACATGAACACACTTTGAATATCATAAGAATTCAGGATGTTTTTTAAAATAATGAGAACAAATGTATTATTGATATGATGAGAATAAAAATAATTATGATAAATTATTCACAAAATGAAAGTCACAAATTGGTACTCCGTATTAAATAATCACACAACATGTAAATTGATGGTAGTGGCTTGACCTCTGAGCAATAAATTAGATTGTACTGAAAACGGAACAAAGTGTATTACAGAATAGCATGTTAATACTATGTTATCTGTTTCTGCCACACAGTGTAACTTAATGTGGTTTGTAGGTTTATAGATCGGTCTTCAAAGTAATCCCTTTGAGTCTTTAGCTGACGGGAAAAAAAGGAAACTATACATGAATGAAGAAAGTAATGAAAGTATAGTCGGTTTAACAAAAAATTCTTATAAGAAGATAATTCATGATGTGTGGTGTTAAAAGGAGTTCTCAAAACCCACAAAATTGGACGTCAGCTTTGTTGGTATCATCATTGTATAAAGCTTTGGTGGTATGTAGATAAGCAAAATATAACTTGTGAGTGTATGTATTTATAGGGAGGTGAGAGTTGGTTACATGTTTAAATAGACCTGCTAGATTCTTGTGCATTCACAGGGCTGAGGTACATACAATGATTTGTTCCTCTTGCTCATCTTAATTATCAAACAATAATGAGTCAAGTGTTTTACTTTACTTTAAAAGTTTGTTCAAAAAGTTTATCTTCAACTTTGTATTCAAATTCTCTTCCTCAAAAACATGTTGTGTTTGGATGCAGAGCAATATAACTTGCGAGATGATGTACGATGTTATTGAAAAATACTAATATTTCAAAAAGGTTTTATAAAATACATTCCCACTTCACAGATTCTCCCGTTTCCTTGAAGGTAAAGGTTGTTTTTATAACACTATATCACTGCATCAAAACTCTGCACCTAATGAGTACTGAAGCTCACTCCAATTTTAGGTGAATGCTGATTACAGTAATCCAAAGCTAAATAAGAGGCTAAACACATTAGGGTGTGAAATATAGAATTTCATATTTAGTAATCAATGAATTCATTTTGGGATAGTGAATTTACAACATTCAATTGATAGGTAAGGAATTATACTTACCTTAACAAAGATGTTCAAAATTAGAGGAAATGGCAGGGAACCTGAAAATTTTAGAAGTTACATTACACAGTTCCAAGAATGAAAACAAAAGGGTAAAATATGAAGAACAACCAGATCTGGGAAAAAGAAACAAAAATCAAAAGCAATTATTGAAAAATAAGAGGGAGGTCAGAACTGAAGCAATCGACAAACCTAGAAGCAGAGCAAACGAAGGTGCATCATCCCATATCCCAAAATCGATTATAAATAGCACTCATCCCATCTCCCAAAATCAGTTTTTAAAAATGTAACGTACATTCAAATTATCAATAATTGGGAGTATATTACAAGTTATTGCACTGCCAAATTGAAAGGGAAGACAGAGATGTATCACTCACGAGCCTGAAATCTCGCAAAACGTCGAAGCTCATTTATATTAAAATAAATGGAAATCAGTGAGTTGGTTAATTTTGGGGAATCTGGAAATCAACCAAATTCCACCGCATTGCCTCACCATAAACAATGCTCTAGTATTGACATCTCAAACCAACACCTAAAAGTCAAACCCAAAAGAATTTTTAAAGAAATAAGTTGCCATATCCAAAAGCCTAACTGAAGCTCATCTGCAGAACTTTTACTCTAGGGCCTCAACAAATGTTTAAACCAGCACCCAAAGGTCATTGCCGAAACCGAGCTGGAAATCTTGTAGAGTAAACGCCTATCCTCAACAAAGAATATCTTTTCAATCTAAAACTCATATATGTTTTGTCCAGCTCAGTAGACCCTCCATACCAAATCTAAAACATAAGGAAGTAATATAAAACATGACATGTGATTTTAAACATCCAATTTCACATATATACCTCAATGATAGACAACGAAATATAAAATAATACAGATATGACAGGTTCACGGGGAATTTCACCCAGGCTGAGTGGTAGCAAGCCCACTCTCCAAGATTCATGGGGAATTTCACCCAGGTTCTGAATAGTTGCACACTATTTAAGATTTTCTAGATTAAAAAATATACCAATTATTTGAATGCCATTCAAAAGCTTTAAGCAAATTTGAATAAACAGATAAGTTTCACCTTTCTCATTTTGGTCTCCATTTCATTTATCAGATGTGTGGTTCCATTCTCCAGCCATACTTTCATATTTCTTCTTATCACAAGGAACCCATCAGTCCTTCTATTTGTCATTTAAAGAACTCAGCATAAAATATGCATCAACATAGAACATGTCAAAAAATAATAAAAATAAGAGAGGTAAGATCATTAAAGTAATAAAAATAATTACTCTTAAGAGATCAAAAAAGAAGAGGGGTAAAATAGAAAAAAATCACAAAAGACTACCAGACTACCAACCAAAAAATAATATAAAAATGTGAGCAGAAATGGCATAAATCTATAGTCTTCATTGATATGAATACTTGCACACTATTTAAGATTTTCTAGATTAAAAATATATTAATTATTTCAATGCAATTTTAAGCAAACTTGGCTAGACAGATAAGTTTCACCTCTGTCATTTTGGTCTCCATTCCATTTATCATCAGATGTGTGGTTCCATTCTCTAGCATTACTTTCATATTTCTTCTAGTCACAGGGAACCTGTCAGTCATTCCATTTATCGTCTAAAGAACTCAATATAAAATATGCATCAGCATAAAAACATGTCAAATAAATAATAAAAATAAGAGAGGTAAAATAAATGAAGTAATAAAAATAATTACTCTTAAGAGATGAAAAAAGAAGAGAGGTAAAACAGAAAAAAAAATCATAAAAGACTACTGGACCACAAACCAAAAAATAATACTCCCTCTGTCCCAAAAAGAAGGTTACATTTCATTTTTTGCGCATCACAAAAAGCACTGCTACTCACATCTAAAAACTCTAAAATTTACCATATTTACTCTTTATTATAGGTAGAAAATGTTTTGAAAGTTCTTTTGGCATTTGAGACGATATAAAAGTGTTTTACGGGATGCGCAAAAAATGAAACGTAACCTTCTTTTTGGGACAGAGGGAGTATAAAAATATGAGCAGAAATGGCATAAATCTATAGTCTTCATTGTTCTTAATACTTGCACACTATTTAAGATTTTCTAGATTAAAAAATAGACTAATTATTTGAATGCAAATCAAAAGCTTTAAGCAAATTGGCTAGACAGATAAGTTTCACCTCTGGCATTTTGGTCTCCATTCCTTTTATCAGATTTGTGGTTCCATTCTCCAGCCATACTTTCATATTTCTTCTAGTCACATGGAACCCGTCGGTCCTTCCATTTGTAAACTAAAGAACTCAATATAAAATATGCATGATCATAAAAACATGTCAAACCAGAGCACTAAAAAAACTTAATGCATAGTTTAACGAGACTATATTCCAGTCTTTCACTGCAACTGGAAGTAAAATGAAAATTACAAAACATAGTATATAGTCGTTTACAAATAGATATTCAACTAAACATATAATACAACCTACACATATACAATATTTCATTAACAAATTCCTAATTAGAGACTGTAACCAAATAAAGGGACACATCAATCTCAACATTTCCATTTAGATTTATCACTGGCCAAATAAAAGTTTAGATTATTATTTGATTGCCCTTCAGAGCTTACTTCACGCCCTCTAAAAATTTTTATTTTGCAAATCCACTTATCACAGAAAAAAGAGTCTAAAGGCTTATCCATGTTGAGATATATGATCTAGATTAAACTCTCATGCACACACAACATATTGCGATATATGATCTACACTCAAATTTTAAACCAGAGCGGAAGCAAAGCATACAAACTTACCAAATTCATCTCCTAAAAGTCCTAAGCAATGATAGCTCTCAAATAGTGTTTTTAAATTTAAAAAATCAAACTTGACAAAATAGTACTCTCAACATAATCTGGACAATACCACCTTCTAAATATATCAATCACAATTTACTATGCATTCAACACTCATAGTGTTTCCAAATTTATAAGCTGAAAACTTAACAATTGGAAGCCATTTTGGCATCACCAAAACATCAATCAAAATGCATCCACACCTCATAGAATATGACATATCTCATAGTTAACTAAAGGGTTAAAGATTAAATGTTTGAAACATGCTTTTGCCTTTTGTAATAAAGGTTGTCCAAAGAAATGGGCTACAAAACATCAATTCTCCTAAAATTTGATAGGAAATCATTCCTAGTTATACAAATACATGTATAAAGTAACCTGAAAATTGAAGATGGCTTCATCAGTGTTGTAAACATTGTGGAAGAGAGCAACCCAAGGGCCAATTTCACCCACTCCAAGAGTCGTCAATTTCCCTATGTGCCAACCCTATTACTGGTTAAGAGTCAATATGTCAATAAATAAATGAGACTGGATTTTGAACGGTGTAAGTGTAATATAGTCAGAACATCAAACCATGCAATCATCCCACGGCAGATTACAATGTTTAGTAACAAAAAAATTCACATTGGCAGGGGAATAAAACCCTCCCTCTCATTTATATATTATATTATATAGGATTCAAATGGTGTACAGTTACTTATAAAAACCAGTGTGTATATGTTGTATCCCCTAGTACTACACCTGATCCTCAAATCCTTAAACAAATCAGTGGAATCATGTCTAAGTGTTACGATCCTTTCTGGAATGAATTCTCCAACCCCAAACCATATTACTTAACCCTGACAACCTTGAGCCTGTCTCCATCCTAAAAAGAGCCGTATACCCTGCCCAGACTACCCCACTCCCTACTTGAATCACTCCATCAAAATAACACATTTTGTGCCAAAAAAAAAACCATAAGTCAATTTCCTTTTCATTTCCCTAAGCTAGGGCCGAAACACACCAAGCCAAACAACCATATTTCATCACCCAACATCCCACAAACATTGTCCCCCCCTTGTCCCCTAGTACAACCGAAATAACAAGCACAACAAGCCAAGGGATATTTTTGATTACTTTGACCTTTAAACCACCATAAAAGCCACCCTATAAAAGCCATATTTCTCACACCCCACTGTCCCCCACTATGGCAGAATGAATCACTCCCCAACCACCAAATATTCACCTCACTAGCCAAGCCAAAATACCCAACACATCACCCATCCATTTTGCCCTCTAATATGGCCGAAAATCCCCTTCCATTCATGAATATTCATTCATGAATCCCTGTCCCCATTTTCCCTGATTTTATTCCATGAAAGGACTCAAGCACATGACTGCATTTTCTAGGATTTGTGGAAGAAATAGCTTAGTATTTTCCTTTGTATGAGTGCCTTTAAATTTCGGCCATAGGCCTATTGTAATGCTCAGATTTTTATTCTTCATTTCAAGATAGAAATACACTGGTTGTATTCTGTTTTCAAATCCTAATTTCTATATCTTAAGGTTGGTTTCCTTAAGTGTGAGTGTTAGGTTCTAGTTATTTAATTGAGTGTGTAATATCTTAATTAAATTCTAGACTCAAACCCCAAGTGAGGATAAGAGTGTGTTATATCTCTTAAAACCTACTTGGTTTTTATCCCTTTCCCCTCTTATTTTCCCTTCCAAAATTTCGGCCCTCCTAAGAAGCACAACCCAATATCCCCCTTTTTCTCCCCTATTCTTATGCCTTTAAACCATCTTAAAAATCAACCCTTCATCCTCCTCCATATACTCGACCAGTCCACTCCCCTCCCTTTCCAAACCCAAGCTTAAATATATCATTTGGTATCAAAGCTTGTTGTTGAACATCTCTTGAGGCCATACAACACACTTCCAACTCTGTTCCTTTCTTCTTTCATTTCTCGGCCTAAACTGCTGCCATAACTCTCTCCTTGCACTCTCTTCAATATGTCAAACACTTCACCAAGCATCACCAATGAAGAGCTCTGGGTTTCTAATACTGAGCTCAAAGCCCAAGTAGAGTACTTGGCAAAACAGGTTGCTCAACTCACTAAGTTAAAAATGAACGTGGTGAACGCTCTGGAAGAAAGTGATGAAGAAAAGGAAGAAGTTCGACTAGAAGCTGATTTTAGTCACACTACTGGAGGAACTGCACAAGAAAAGGGAGCTACTGATTTTAAGGTTAACATACCAACCTTTGAAGGAAAGAATGCTCCGGACGACTTTCTAGAGTGGCTGGAAACAGTTGAGCGTGTCTTTGATTTCAAAGATGTGCCTGAAGATAAGAAAGTCAAGATTGTGGCGTTGAAGTTCCGAAAGTATACGTCCACTTGGTGGTCCAATCTTTCCACCAAAAGAAGGCGTGAAAACAAGGCTCCGGTTAAAACTTGGTTCAAAATGCGGAGCTTGTTGAAGAAGAAGTTCTTGCCCGAACAATACGTACGAGACAACTTTGCTAAGCTTCAACACTTAAGGCAAGGTACCCGGTCTGTTGAGGACTATACCCGGGAGTTTGAAGAACTTTTGATGAGGTGTGACCTCCAAGAAGATGACTCACAAACGTTGGTCCGTTATTTGTTTGGGCTTAACACACAAATCGCCAACGTGGTGGAGTTACAAGCCTACGACACCTTTGAAGAACTTTCCAAACTAGCTCTTAAGGTTGAGTCTCAACTTAAGAGAAGCAAAACCCCTTTTGGCCGTCCCCCTCCCTTCTCAAAAAACACACAAACTACACCCCGTACCACCCCCTATGCCACTGCCCAAAACCCCTCCTCTAAACCCAACTCCATCCCTTCCACTTCCAATAATCCGCCACCCCCAAAAACCACCCTACCCAACACCCGAG